TGACACTGTCCAGTGGGAGGAGACTCAGCAGTGACACAATCCAGTGGGAGGAGATTCAGCAGTGACACAATCCAGTGGGAGGAGACACACAGTCCAAGGTTAAGTGTGTTCGGGTTTGAATGATGAAGTCTTGCAGAGAGGTAACCAAAAGAACTCAGAAGACTGTGAAGTCTGGCAGCCTTCGGTCTAGACATGCAGGCAGCAGATTATTTTAAGCACTGGACATGCTTATTTATTCATTTTGTTAGGCTTTTTAACCTTGTACTATTTCCTTTCTTGTTTATTTTAGTAGCTATCTTCCTGCCCTTCACCTATAGTACAGGGGCTATTTTAAATTCCTTTATACTTCTCGTACCTAGTAGTACCCTGCTAATCGGAACTCTTTTGAACACTATAATCGTCACAGACTTACGGTAACAGTAGATTGCTGCGAGAGTAGTGATATGGTGTAGTAAACACTCAGCAAGGATTACTGAAAAATTTGAACCTGCTGCCTATCATATGCTTTGTATCTTTGAAACAAAGATGATACTTGAGAGTTTTACTTCTCTCCCATGACCACTTGGGTCAGCATCATGATAAGAGTCTGGGGGTTGTGGTTTTATGAAAGGCTGACTCGGAGGGTTCTGCAATTATTACGCTTATTATATTAAGCATACACCGTAAGCCCAGACATTCAGAGGTAGAAAAGAAACACTAGATTCCTCCCATACTTAACTGGGTCTCTGTTTCCTTCTCTGTGTATCCTCCGAAGACGCTTGGACCAAAGGACTTCTGAGTTGTTCCGATTTGCTGTGTAAATGATGTCTTCATCTATTTGGAAGGAATGACATAATTTCAGCCAAGGCAATTGGAAACAAGATGAATGGCTTCCAGCATCCCTCCCTTGATAATATTTGGGTGCCTTTTATATTTCTCCATGAAAAAAAAAATTACTGTGCGGCGGCAAAGCAGTCCAAGAAAAAAAGTTCAGCAACTTAATTTAAAAGTGAATTAATTATTCCCCTGAATAGACCCCTTCTTTGTTTGAATACAAAGCGCTCTTTTCATGTATTTCCCAAATAACTGCCCTCCTTACCTCTACCTGAATTTCCACTAGTGTCATTTAATAAAATGAAACGTACTTTTTCCTAATAGCAGTTTCCAATATAACTTTGCTGTTACAGTTCATGCTATGAATTCCTTTTATCTAAGTAATAAATCTGTAATTTGTGAAACTTGTTTCCAAACTTTAAAGCTAGTTCTCTGTTCTTCTTGGCATAGAATTTGGGTTTTATTTGCCTCCAAATAAGTTTTTCCAATGGAGAGATTGGGGTCTAGGAATATTTATTATATTATAAATAAGGTAAAAATGGAAAGTTCTGTCTAGAAGTTAGAATAAGACATAAGTCTAAATCTAACATTCATTTGATCAACCATTTATGACTTTTAAACTTAAGTCCCTAAGTTGAGTGAAGGATAGATTTACTTTCTGTTGTGGT